TTATCTCGTTACTGTGGATCATCCTTACACACCAGAGCATACATTGGTTAAGTGGAGAACAAGTCACTTATCAAAGACGTCTTCTAGATATATAGTGACTTGTCAAAGAGATCAATTTTCCAGCGGAAAATATTTTCCTCTCATTTCTGGAAATTACTTATTTGACAAAAGTTAGATAATTTGTTACTGTTATATTTTGTTGAAAATAACTTGAATTGAATTATTGTAACTTGGAGTAACATTAAAAAACAAACCTAGGAATAAAGTTTAAGATTTTTTTTTAAATCTTATGACATTAAATTAAAAATGAGTCAAGAATATCAAAATGTAATTTAATGCTTATAGTTTTAAATATATCATAATTTACGTGAAAAGTTGTAATTGAAAAATTGATCAAACAGAATAACATCATTTTTAAAAGGAATAATTACATAATTTTCACCTTTTAATTAACTTATTACAACTATCCCCCTATGAGTTTTCTAAATCTTCAAATTCAAAATTCTTCATTTTTCTCTTAAATCAAAAATATCATTATTTTATCTAATCATTTATTAATGTATCTCACCCATTTTTTAATATATCAGCGCATGTATTTGACCCTCTTTTTAATATATTAGCGTTTTGATCTTTTGCCCTTAATATATTCGGACCTCCATTAATGTATCCGATCCTCTTTTTAATGTATCATCGCTTTGATTTTGACCACTAATATATTTCACGCTCTTTTTAATATATCAGCGCTTATATTATTTTCTTCGTTTGAATTTCTTTTGTAATTATAATCTTTTAAGAAATAAATTATAATTTTACTATACAAGTATGTGATTTTTGTAATTTACTCTTAAAAAACCTAATTATCAAACAAAATGAATCAAATAAATTAAATCGAACATAATTTCAATACTAAAAATTATAGTAAATGAATTAGTAAAATTTAAATATTAAACCTGTCTATTTTAACCCCCACTCCTCTTTTAGCTTTTCTAATGTATGACGTAATTTTGTCTTCCTCTATTTTATGTCGCACGTTTTTCTTTGTCCTCTATAAATCTTTAGAAAATTCTCTAGGTAGGTTATCTCTTACACATAATTATAATATTTCCACTTTCCATGTTGCTAAAAGCCCCTACTTAATTAGCTTTATTATTAATTTATCTTCTTCTACTACTTTCTAGTTTCCTATTTTTTTTCACTTGTTTGTGTTTAATTAAATTGAAATTAAAAAAGCTGAGTGGAGATGGAAGAAGTAGTAGCTGAGGGAACAGCTTTTAAAGAATGTTTAGCTCTTTCATGGAAGAATCCTTATGTTCTTCGTCTTGCTTTTTCTGCTGGAATTGGTGGCCTTCTATTTGGCTATGATACAGGTACCCCACTCTCCTATTTACAAAATTAATTCAGATACTAGATACCGACGAAGTAAAAAATTCTACTACAAAATGCCAACACAAACACTTCTATTCTACAACATTTTAATATATTAAAAATATATTATTTAATCACTTAATATATTATTTTATTTATGTATGATTTAATTTTCAGGCAAAAGTTAACATCATCATAGCTATGCTCCTAGTAAAAGAAATAGAGGCATAGCCACAATTTTAATTAAAATATATCAAAATGTAAAAAAGTAAAATTACATATTAAAAGTTTAATATATATATATACACCCTTTCAAGTCTATCATAACTATGACTAATGCTACTCAAAATAATAAATTAATACTATATCAGAAAGAAGTGTACATAAAATAATTTTGACCAATATTATATAGTTTAATTATTGAATGATGTTGTATAGGAGTGATATCATAATTTTGACCAATATTATATAGTTTAATTATTGAATGATGTTGTATAGGAGTAATATCAGGAGCTCTACTTTACATTAGATATGACTTCAAGGATGTTGATAGAAACACCCTCTTACAGGTTTGTTTGCACATGACAACTATTATCCTTATTTATTTTTAAAATCTTTTATTTAGAAATAATTTAATTTTAAATTTTTATTTATCATTAATAATCACACAAATGTTGATTATACTATTACTTTGTTTTAATTTGTGTGTGTAACTTTTTCTTTTTAGTTAGTTTCAAAAAATTAACATCTTTATCATATGTATTAATAACAATTATCTTCAAACAACCATTTTCACTTTCGATAAAAGATTTGTAGTCACAAAAAAAATTTAATAGCGTATTCTAAATTTCAAGTTTAAATAACATTTTTTGTTTCAAGTTTTGTATCTCCGTTAAATACCTTTGTATAAATTGAAAAAGAGTACAAATTTGTTTTAACATGGTTTTAAAAATAGTTAAACAAAACCACATAAAACTGACTGGAGCTAGGAAGTACCTATTGTTGCTTATTATGAGTAAAATAATTTATTTTTTTTAAGGGAAAAGGATCAAATATGTGCCTAAACTATTTGAAAAGTTTAGATATACCTCTCGTTTAAAATTTGGTTCATTTATATCCTCGCCATCCAACTTTTGGTCAACATATGCCCTTATGGCCGTTAGTTGGCCAACTCGAAATATCCAACTCATTTTACTTTTCCTTGAATGCCAAATGAATTTTTCACGTCATCTTTATGTACTATGACTTGACATTTATATTCAAGGAAGATGGGTCAAATATGCCCCTAAACTATTCGAAGGTCTAGATATACCCTCGTTTAAAGTTTGGTCCATTTATACCCTCGCGTCCAATTTTGATCTACATATGTCCTTGTGGGTATTAGTTGGTCAATTCGAAATATCCAACTCATTTTACTTTTCTTTAAATGCCAAATGAATTTTTCACATCATTTATATATATTATCACTTGACATTTATATTAAAAGAGAAAGGGGTCACTTATGCCCTAACTATCCGACCCAATTTTAAAACACATATACGTCCGTCTTTTAAATGCTTCAATTATGCCCATAATCTAACTCATATATGTGTGAATTATTCTGTTATTTACATCATCATCAACTGCTGCAGCTTGCAGTTGTGTCTGTAACGTAGTTGCGGTGAATTCCTCCACTCTAGCCCTTGCCTGCGAGGTTTGTTCCTCCAGCTCTGCATTGCGCCGAAACGCTTTTCAAATCTCGACTTCCTTTTCCTTCAGTTGTCATGCCATTGATTCCTCGGCGGTTCCAATCAAAGCACGATAGTGTTTGCCTTTTAAATGGTTCAATTATGTCCTAATCCGACCCATATAGGATATTTAAAAAAAGGGGTCGGGTTGTATAGATTATTTAAAAGATGGGTCGTATATGTGTTTTAAAATTAGGTCAGATAGTTAGAGGCATAAAAGACCCCTTTCTCTTTTAATATAAATGTCAAGTGATAATACATAAAAATGATGTGAAAAATTCATTTGGCATTTAAGAAAAAGAAATGAGTTGGATATTTCGAGTTGTCCATCTAACACCCATAAAGGCATATGTAGACCAAAAGTTAAAAGGCGAGGGTATAAATGGACAAAATTTTAAACAGGGGTATATCTAGACCTTTTTGAATAGTTTAGGGGCATATTGACCATTTTCCCTTGAATATAAATGTCAAATGATAATACATAAAATGACGTGGAAAATCCATTTGGCATTTAAATAAAAGTAAAATGAGTTGGATATTTTGAGTTGGCTAACTAACAACCAAAAGGGCATATGTAAACCAAAAATTAAACGGTGAGGATATAAATGGACCAAACTTTAAAAATAAAATATATCTAAATTTTTTTGAATAGTTTAGAGGCATATTTGATATTTTTCCTTTTTTAATTGGTTTTAGATAAGTTTTTGGTTATTTTTGGGACCATTGCCTGAATTAGATTAATTCTATCATTTAAAGCTGTTCGTTTAGGCCCATGCTATGTGTACCATATCCGAAAAGCTGTTTTTGTTTGGCTTTTTCCACTCCGCAAAATAATTTACACATGCCACAAGTCACGTTGTTGGCGGGACCCACTCCTTTGATTTCCACTAGAATTTGATTGGAACAACCTTGAATCATGTAGATTCCTAATTTTATACCTTCACATGTTTTTTTCCTAAAAAAAATAATAATCATTTCATCGAGTATTTAAATTTATGTGATTTTTTCCTAAATTACACCCTCTTTAACTCTCCCCACAAATTTTAGCTTTGGTTCTATTTGTGTTCACATCTACTTCGAGAAAAAACATTGGCATTTTTACATTTTATTATATCCATTCAATAAAAAATTGACAGCATATATATATATATATATGGAGAAAAATATTTATTTTTGTAGCAGTAAATATGTTATAGTGATAGTTGAAAAAAATAGTTTTCCGAATTATTCTATCAATAGCAAGCACACGATACAAATACTTTTTATATCATAATCAGTTTTGTAATGGTTGCACTAGTCTCAATCAGCACATTCAGTGGTGTGACCACAGTCACCCCAGGGTGTCCGATTGGACACACTTTATGTTGCATATATATACGCATGCGAGCGGGCGGGTATGTGTGTGTTGTGTATGTGTGCGCGTGCACATGCTCTGTGTGTGTGAAATTGTACATTTAAATAATATATATTTAAAGTTGGACACCCTAGACAAAAGCTACGCATTTGACGCAGTGGTATTGGGTGTCCATTTGAATGAAGAAGTTTCAGGTTCGAACTCGAAATATCTCTTAACAAAATAACACGTGTTATGTATTTATTAATTGACTTAAATCATCTACGATCCCTTAAAATTGTCCGCATAATTCGTTTAAACACCTCAACTAAGGTTTGTATCTACTGAACACCTATGCTCCTTAAAAGTGATGCCTATTTTTACATTTTTTTACATTCAGACAAAAATATGATGTGTGTACTACATTCGTTATGACATGACACGACATGACACATTGATGAATTAAATGTTGACATGTGGCATTTGGTTCCAAATTTTTATTTTAAAAATGAATTTCTAAAAACTAATTATTTTAGTCTATTTAGCTAACTAAAAAAAATAAAAAGGAATCTTCTAAAAGATATACCCATCCACCCCACCGCGACCCCTCTTTTTTTTTCTCTCCAGTTGATCCAAATCTTCTCCAACTTTCCTACAAGACACCTCCCTCAAACAATTTTTCTATTGTAATTCTAATCTCTCCATCTAGTTTTGGTACGAGGAAGATGAAAAAGGTTTTGTCTGATATCATTTTTAATAAGCTTAATTAGTTTACATTTTAATTTGAAGTGGTGATGTCCGCTTGAGTGACCAGAAATAGAAATGAACGGAGATCGGCTAATTTTTTAACTAAAATATCTAAAATTCTTCTTTCTTATCACAAAATCACATCAATTCGTAGATTCAATTCTTTTTTTCACAAAATCACATCAATTCGTAGATTTAAATTTTTTCTTTTGGAAAACACATCAATTCGTGTCCGTATATATATATATATAAATGAACGGAGACATTTCAGATATTTTAGTTAAAAAGTTAGCCGATCTCCGTTCATTTCTATTTCTGATCACTCAAGTAGACATCACCACTTCAAATTAAAATGTAAACTAATTAAGCTTATTAAAAATGATATCAGACAAAACCTTTTTCATCTTCCTCGTACCAAAACTAGATGGAGAGATTAGAATTACAATAGAAAAATTGTTTGAGGGAGGTGTCTTGTAGGAAAGTTGGATATAAAGAATTAAAAGAAGCGAGATAAAAAAGAAAAGAAAAAGAAGAGCAGAGAGTTTGGAGTTTTGAGGAAGAAGATGATGACTAGAATAAGGAGGTGGGGTTGATTTCTTTGTTTATTAAGAAATTAATTTTAAATAAATTTTAGTTTTTTTAAAGTCCAATATCAATTAAAGAAAAAAGAACTGTACAAGTTTTTAAAAAATAAAATACTTTTTGGAACCTATTCACGCGCTAATACTACGTGAAGTACATTGATATTGTGACATGAACGTTTTGTGTTTAATAGATATATATATTTTGAAAAAATTTAGATGTTCAATAGGTATAAGTTCTAGTTAAGGTATCTAAATGAATTATGCGGACAACTTTACAGGTCTGCCGATAATTTAAACCTTATTAATTTGTTAATCGCTTGTAGGAATGTATAGTGAGCATGGCAGTTGCTGGAGCAATTATAGGTGCAGCAATTGGCGGTTGGCTTAATGACAAATTTGGGAGGAAAAGTGCTATACTCATTGCTGATTTCCTCTTCTTTGTTGGAGCTGTGATTATGGCATCAGCAATAAATTCAGCACTCCTCATACTTGGTAGAGTCTTTGTTGGATTTGGTGTTGGTATGGCATCAATGACTGCTCCTTTATACATATCAGAGGCTTCTCCTGCTAAAATTAGAGGTGCCCTTGTTAGTACCAATGGATTTCTCATCACTGCTGGACAATTCTTATCCTATCTTATTAACCTTGCTTTCACCAAGGTAGGTATACTTGTTCCGACCCAAGTAGGGCCGAGGGGGTTCATCTTCTTTATCTTTACTAGAAACTGTACTGTTTATACATTGATAACAATTTATATATATATATATATATATATAGATATGACG